AATGTTAGGGAAATTTATTGATTTAACTAACTAAAAAAGGTATTCTGTGATAAAACTAAAGTTTCAACTAGAATTTCCAGCTTTCCTTTGATATACGTATCTTTGTTTTAAGTTAGCCTACAATAGATGGCGCACGTAGTTATATCCCGAATTTAGAACTCGGAGCTTTTATTTTTAAAATAGGTAAGTATTACTTTTTCACAATTAAAAATGGAAAATTTGCCGATTTAATAAAAACCTAATTGGTAGTTAGTGATAATATTGTACTCGGTAATATAATTTTGTGGAAAATGAATTTAGTTCAACAGTGTTTTAAATAATTTACTATTGATATAAGATTTTTCACGTTAATACTCAATTCAGGCAGCAGCATCTAAATTATCATAATTTAATACTAATCTGTTTTTTAAATTTTTTATACAATCTGTTAAATCTTTCTTACAATTTATTTGATGCGATTTTTATGGTAATCTACTCGAAAATTGATGCTGCACTCTCAATATTATATCACTTGCAAGACGTTTGCGAGCGGTTGGATCACTTACGACTTTGGTTCAGCTATTAGTGTAATGCAAATTTCAGTAATTTCAATAATAAACGACCTGAAACTCATCGTAATTAATGGAGCACTTGCCGGGCTACAACTATTAATAAATAAATAAGTTTAGTGTTTGGTAATGTCAAATACGGTCAGGAGGTTTTTGTTTGTATAAAGCGCGTAATTTGTGGTGTATTTCGTTTTATTACGACTACAATATTTACTTATGTGATTGGAGTCTTGAATAATTAATTACTTTAATGTGGACGAGGAAATTAAAATCTATTTTAATTATTAATACTTCATAGATGCTTCATCTTCGTAAATCGAAAATTATGATGTTCACAAATATGTCTATTCGTATTGTTAATGTTGCAGTGAGCACTCGAGACTTGTTTGTGTCATTATTAATTCCACTAACGTATGTACTACGTATGAGGAATAACGATATGGTTTAGTTCCTTATATTATGTGGATAAAATGGTCCAACGTTTGAGAAAAATCGCCGTTTTGCTTCAGAGTTATAAAGCAGCTACATGAAGAAGTGTAATTTATTTCTCGAATTTTATTTACATGCTGCAAAAAACTGTTGTAAAGGATCGAGTCAATGAAACAGCATTGTCATACAGTACTAAATACAGACATAAGTAGTATTAATAAAGAAATTTATAATTGTGTATAACATAAATTGTTTATTTTGCATTCAATATCTTATTTGTGCATTATATTTTAGATGATACTCCTGCTCCTGCTACTAGAATATACAATTCCTTTAAATCCCTAAACTAATTTCTACGGATATAGATGTAAGGTGTCATACCTTTACTTCGGGTTTAATTAGGGACCCTGTGGTTTCCAAATTTATCTTGTTATATAGTATCTCTAATTAACAAGAGGTAACTAATGAAATAAAGCCTGATTGAAATACCCATCAATTCACGAATGTTACAAATCAAATTACTATCGGTATACAATAACGAAAGATGGTAAGGTTGTTAAAGTTTTGAAAGCAATTTATCATCGTCTATTACTATAGAAGTAAGGAACATTCAAATCGTATATCCTACATTGGACCATTCCATACATTTTTAAACAGTGAATGGATTTGAAAAATAACAGAGAACTAGAGTACGACAGGTTTTATTGTCTTTATTCGGCACATTTTAAAAATCAATAAAGTAATTCTTGGTACATCACGAATATGGGAAAACTCCTATATTTTCTTACTACGAATATTCCTCCTTAAAATTTCCGTAAGCATAATTTATTCTAATATTTCACTTGTACCTAAATGAAACCCGTTATTGCTGTACCTCTCTAATCCATTAAGACAATGATATATGTTCGTAAATTATAGGTATGAGTACGAGGGAATCCTCCTTTTTATAATTCATCAGTTTTTAACACCTCCGACGTGGATCAATAGCTGATGCATAATGCATCAGTTTAGAGGCCCGACTGCTGTTGCCGGCCATCTTGCCTCTTATCCTGCTAAATATATCGATAAATTTATAAGGGAATAATTACAAGGTCTTGCCTGGAAGCGTTGTTCCCGTAGGGGGAAGTGATTTCAATTGCGTAGGCGTTTAAAGGGTGTAATTTGAGGTAACGCGATAAAAAGCTCGGTTTGTCAGGAATAGACTTTAGGGATTCGCCAAATCAAACCCTCATTCAAAAACCCTCGGGATGCAAAATTAGTCATCCGTTTGTTAAAAGTTAAAAGGAAGGAAATTGCTTCCTTGGAATTTGCGCGAAAACCTTTGGCGTATTGATGCAACTTATGTTATCCTTTATTGTTTACTATTAGTGTAGTTTCTAGAGAAATTAGTTACTTAATTGAGAGCCTTTGTGGTTAAAACTTACCGAACGTTAATGCACCTAATCGTCGCACAAAGCGATAAATCTCATATCCTCGCATAAATTTATGCAATCGAAGACAGTCCTTTGAGACGTTATTAAATAGTTAAGGGAGCGTCTTATCCAAGTTCCGATCTTAACACACCGCCTCGGCCATGTTGGGGGATTCAATAGTCCTCTGCACAAATGTAAATGCAAATGGGTCACTAACGACCCCGCAGCGTATATAGCGATGTGCCGACAGAAACTACCGTCATACGTTATTCCGCCCCATTTTCTAATTACCCACAGAAACATTTCCGGCGAGAGACTAGTGCAAGAGAGGGTGCAGAGGTAACGGGAATCCATCAAGTTGACCGCCAATCCTTTATAAGCGTACTGCGAAAGCTACACGTTGACTATCCACTTAGAACTAATATAGATACTATATTTAATAAACCTAGGTAATTTATATTGTTATACCGATAAATTGTAAAGTAATTAGGTATTTAATAACTTTTTTCCATCGTCAAAATATTACTCTTTATGGATCGTTTTTATTAATGTATACGCTCAAACTATTACCCTAATAACTATTATTGTCAATGATTACTAGGAACATACATGCATGAAACAAAGAATCTAACATGGAAAACAATTACCTTAAAATTCAGGGCACGAATTACCGCCACTCGACAGCGGTGCTCTATAATTTATAAAATAAAATTCTTCGACGGAAAAAAGACGGGGGAACGTGTAAATAACACGTTGTCTAATTGAATCCTCACCTGAAACACAAAATCAATTTCCGAAGTGCCTGCCTACTACTTAAATTTATCAGAAGAACATTATCTAAAATGAGGCCTCGGGGCTTCGCACACGATAAAAATACAATAACCATTCAATAGAAGTGGAGGTACGATCGGCTTTTTGTGTAGATAAATTTCCTGTTGAAAAATTTGAGACACAACAAGAGATGATGTAGATGGTATTTTGAAGAATAGGAAGCAACTTCAACGTTTTATCAACACAAAATACTCTAAATAAGGTAATAAAAGACTGAAGTCTCTTTTTAAATTCAACAAGTAATCTACTCTTGGTACAGTATAGATAATATTGTTAGTATTACAAATTCATGCAAATATTGAGAATACCTCATAATCTAATGGCCAAAAAATAGTTGCGGACAATGCCTAAGATTAATCAATTATTAAGTTAGTCCAGTCACGACCTCCCACGGTGTATAATAAAATTGATGATACACTGTTAAATGTTAATAGGTCGTAAGAGGAAATTGAAAATTCGTGGAACGACTTTACCGCGTGGAAAAAAGGGAAAAAATTAAACGGCTCTTAATTCTTAATTCGATAATAAAACGGCAATATAAATCGGGTGATAATGTTGGGTCTGAAAGGTCTAATTGTATGATAGTTTTTTAATTCGAGACCAACATTTTGATCATCTCGCCATTATAATGTTGCTAAGATTGTTGATAGTAAAGAAAGAATAATTACCATTCCAAGGATGTATTTTCGGTTGTTACAACCTAAAGGTTTTAATTGTACCTGGATTAAAATAATCAATTTGGTCGATATCCTAGTTGATGTAATAACTTATACACCGTCTTATCTGACAATAAATTTATTATTTATTGCATTTTTTATAAAAGACCTAACAATAAGTAAATTATCGTTTTGATTGAGACATTGACTGCTTAAACGAAACTGGTTTTTCAAATTCAAAATAATTATATATTTTTATACTTCTATATTCATGCATGGTGGGCGCGTCTTCATCAAGTCAATACCCATTAATTTCTTTGATAAAACATACTTCATGAATACCTGCCACTAGGTACCCTCGGGCTTTTTTAATACTCGTTGGTACCACATGAAGAAGTACCAAAATTGATTGTACCTTTTTGGGGATGTATTCACTGAAATATAAATTATAGGTAACGTCAATTGAGTGATTAACATTATTTCTTACTGTTAAGTGTGGATTATTTAATTTTCTTTTAATAAAGATTTTAGAATGTAATTACCGGAGGGCAATTGTATGTGGCAAGAAATAATTATAAGCTTAAGTGCATTGAGTTAAGAAGCAGGTATTCAAGAGTAGAATATGTAGTAATATTCTACATATTCCTTCTAATAATAAAACATAATTAGCGGTTACTCCTAATTGTTAAATTATCTTTTATGTTGACTAAGGAGATATAATAATAAACCTGTAACTGGCATTAATTCTGAATGCAAACATTTCAATTTTTTAATTGTGATGTGATGTGTACAAGTGTTAGAGTAATTATGTGTGTTTGGGCTTTGAGTTTTTTAAAATTTCAGTTAAGTATTTTTTATAATAAATAATTCTTTTGTTCCTCATTTATTATGTAAAATTTCATATACTTATTATATCTAGGAAACCCCGTTTATCAAGCTTCTATACACAAAATGACATGGCTCGAAATCCAACCAAATAACTTTTCGCAATTTTGTAGAGTTATGTACGTAGGTACCTACAATAGCACATAGCAATACCATATGAAATAAGAATAATAGCAGTTTTTTAATTAATAGCGGCATTTATAAAATATGTGCTATGCGCTGCCACGTCCATTGACTAATTTTCTTTAACCGCATCACTTTTCGCAGCGTCTACGCTGGATATCGAACCATTATCTTAAGTTCGGAATTTTATAAAATAGGTGAGCAAACATATTTTTGTTAATAAAATATCGATAAATATTCATTCCATTGCGCCATTTGAAATAATAAGTCCGATATTTTGGACTTATTTATCGAAGAAATGTGTTTCAGAAAGGGTATTGAGCGCCTTTAATTTGTAAATAAAATTTTTAATGCACTATTAATTGTTGGTTTTCACCAGGCGCTTTTATAACCGCTGTTTATTTATTTTTAGGTAAAAAAATGTCCGAAATCGAAGAAGTCAGAGTTTCTTTGTTTGGTTGTTTTATGCCTCAACATCCGACAAAACGGAGGCGATTATTAGACAGGTAATGTATTAACTAAATCACATTTACAAAAACTCATACATTAGAATTTTATTAACTTCTATTACCTAAGTGTATAGTGAAATTGCAACAGGATTAAAAACATCGTTGATTTCAGGACTATGATTGGATATCCTACGAACTTTCGGCACAGCTTCTCAGCAAGTCGCTTTATGGAATCGTCTTTTCTTCCTACAGAAGCTCTAAGAGATAAAATGGCGAGCAAAGGGGGTTACGAGGAGACACCATTAAAAGAAGAAACGGTATAACCGTTCGCTAAAAGGTAAACCGAACGCGTATGTTTAAATTATAAACGTTTTAATCTTGTAGTATAACGATTTTATTCAGCCTTTTGTAGGCCGTTAATTTCTTTCTCATATGTACATATGTATTGGTGGTGTAATGTTTAGTTTTAAAATTTAATTTTAGATACTGGAAAATGATCATGACTTGTACTCTGAAGGACTTGAAAAACTAGTAAAAATATTACATCGTAATGTTTAGTTTTATTTTAAACTATAGTAACATTACATTAATTGTGTACTAATTTTTAATCGTATTAATAAAGTTATCACAATGATTGTTTGGTTGATTTTTTTGCATTCCGAGCATATTTCGCTATAGAATCATTCTCCGTTATGTTCGGAACATTTATTTTGAGTCACTCAAATTTTTTCCGTTTTTTTTGGTACCAATAACGCATATCTTTCTGTTTTTCAAAACGATTATAAAAAACAAAATTGCCAACAATTTTTTACTCGTCCAATTGCACCGCCCCTCCCTCTATCATCCTTTATCGTCAGTTACTATATCATCAAAAACGTGTTGACACATTAGCAATGTCGACACCCTGTAGAAGCGTATCACGTACACCATCTAGGCTAGCTCGACAGCGCCTTCTCCCTAGAGGGTATTATCTTCATACATGACAAGTGTAGAAGACGAGAGATCGTTCCGAAAGTGGAATGCATACTTCATATTAAACAAACGAATTTTTCAGTAGCGTCTAAGTTCATAAAGCCATCCTAGCCTCATTCCTTGAAGTTAAATTTACACTGAAAATTGAACTATTCGCAAAATGTTTTTATTTATAACGATTGGCACGAGAGTGTCCAAACTAAAATGTTGTATTTAAATATGGATTCGTTGTGGTTTCTAATGTTAGGTATGGTACATAGACAAAACGATAATGGTCGATAAAAAATAATTATTGCTAATTACATACAAAATATATCCAGGTATATATCCATACAATATCAATATTTGAAGTGCAATGTCGTTTCGATTGTAATAATTGTTATAACACGAACGTAAAATGTACTGGCGGATGTAATTGTTATTCCCGCAATTTCCATTGTACTCTCCTATATTACAGCATACAGAACAGTTTAAATATAAATTATCGTTGGCGGTGTGATAAGAGATATACAACAGTAGTAAGCCAGGATTTCTGCGGAATTAACAATGTTTGCGGCAACGCGACAAACGCAGCTTCAAAAAATATTGTTACAATTTGTTTGGCGGCGACTAGTGTCAGATATATGATTACATTCTTACGTGAAAAATGATATCGCTAGTTTTATTTTTTTTATAGTATTTACTACAATTTATTTTTATTGTTATTATGAGAAACTAAAGCAGTATTTGGCAAAGAAAATATCAGTTTTCTACTTCTTATTTTATGTTACACCTTTGCTAATCGACAATTTAAATTGCAACTAAAATTAAAAGTTAATTATGATTAATATTAATTCGAATTTTTCTTTTAGAATTTGACTATGATAATAGAGACCGGGCCTGGTATTATTATAGATATAGCTGGTGATAGAGCAAGCGGGTCGTCCACTTTTTGGTTTGGCCGGCGGCGACAGTCCCGGAACAAGGACTTCTTATCTCTCTTCCTATTGTTCACTTAATGAATTCAAATCCGGGAGGCGGGTCGCGAAAACGGGGATTTGCATGTATTTGCATAATTGTATATATTGATGTTCGTTAACGAATGTTGCTTAGACTGGAAGGAATCAATAGGACGGAGTTGGGAATTTGTTCTTGTTACAAGGAGATGAATTTTTAATAATTTCAATGCTGGTGTTTTCTCTTTGGGAATTCAGGACTTTAATCAGATAATCGATTTTCACATATGTAGAGGAATTCTGGCTAAATTTTAAATTAAATTACTTTTACTGGACTAATATATTAAAAGGATTTTCTTGTTGTTTACATATCGCCAGCGATATTACCAAGCAGAGATAATTAAACATCCAAATTAACACTCTGGTTAGTGGAATAGTCGTACTTAGTCGTTGCGGTCACATTGGGCATGCTATATTGGGTAATAACCACCGAAATTGGTGTACGTCGACTGCAAAAGTCATTTACAACAAAAAATAATTAAATTTATTAGTCCAGTATTACTATAAGATTTTCGTTTAATTTCAGAGATATAATTCACGAAACAAATTGTACCTAGATTATAATATAACACAACTAAAGATTAATTAAGTGCAGATAATTAATTAAAATTAAAAATTATTGTATATGATTTTAATAAAATAAATAATTATCATTACAATTTACAAAAAAAACGTTAAAATTTTTTCGAGTTTCTGTGATCTCACAAACAAAGATTGCGGCATTGAGTTTGGAAGTTGGTCGGGAAAGGGCCAATTTGCATAAGGAAATATTCCCACGTTAGAACCCTGCGTTTTAAACTTTTAGGTGTTTTTCTCGTTTTTACTAGCAGACGTTTAAAACTTCGGAGTCGTTATTATGATAATTTCGAAAAATAACTATGAAGTGAAGTAACTTAAGGTAGAACTTATATATGAGCAAATTGGGCATTTAAACTGTTTTACTGAATTAAACATTAATGAAATCTCTTATAATTAAATGTTGTTACTTTTTGGTTGAATCATTACAATTTTTATTATTCAATTTTATGCTATCATTCTAACAAATGTAAAAAACAATAATAAAATAAAATATTGTAATGAATTAAATATTAAAATCCAATGAAATGCCTTAAATGAGTATTACAATATATTTAACAACTGCAAAATTTTTACTTTATAAAATGGCCAAATGCTAAGAGCTATTTTACGGAATACATTTTCCCATTTTCTTCATTAGCCATAAAAGGAACTTCGGCGGGTAAATAGTTTCCGGAATAGGTTAGAGGAGAACGAAATATTTCAATGGAAGGAATAACAGAAGTCGGAAAAGGTTCAGGTATTAGAAAGACGCAATTCGGCATTCGACAATAAGTCGCCTTAAAGATAAAAAAGTTTAATGTAGCAATTTTAGAATTGCTAAACATTTCTTTTAAATCAGATATTTCAGCAACTTACTTTTACCTTTTACAGATGTGAAATAGCTAATTTAGTAAATGTACTTGGGCTTCAACTATTTTTGGGCAGGTATATTATAAACGTTTATTAAGCACATTTTAATTTGTTTAGTAGGTTAGAGAACTTGAATAATATCTAACGCATGTAATTAGTAGGAAAAACCTAATATTGTAATTGGAAAGACTCCGCAAGCTCACTTTACCTTTAGGTTAACCCTTTTCAACCACAATACCGCTAGAAGATTTAAGGTCTGGCATACTAATTGAGTCATTTGTATTAGTCTTTATAATTTCTCTAAATTTTCCTAACACAGTTTTACATAGGAACGTATGCTTTACTAAAAAACACAAATCATACTACATAGTAATATGTACTACTGATATGCCTGACTGATTAAGAAATGTATTGCATGTTTAAATATACATGGTGGCCCAGAACTCACACCCCACCGGAAAATGCCTGATGGAAACGACAATGGAGATACCAAAACTGCAGCCGAAAACATGAAAAAGTTATTCCTTTGTAAATAAAGAGTTTTAAAATTGAACAATCCCAGTAGCAATTCACATACGCGAAAATGACGTGAATTAGTTATACACCAATTTGACATTATTGAAAGATTTTATGTCCTTTTCACTTTCAAGATTAACAAAAGCTGCCAAAATCAGCCGCGACTGTTGATCAAAGATTTGCTTTCAAATCGATCAAAAAATGGATCATTCGATTCGAACCACTTTTGAAGCAATAAAAAATTATGTACTGTTGGTATCAGCACAACGGAGCTCCATAATGATCGGCATGTTTTAACTCAAAAAATGAAGAATTTCAAAAAAATTTATATTAAAAAACTTTTTAGACTTTTAAAGACTTTACTTCTATGGCGGCTAATGGAAATGGTCAGACATGTGCGTCAGTTTGACACTGTAATTGCGATTCTGCAACGATTTTTTCGTCGCGCTTTTTGTTTCGCTGCCAACAGAATTTTCTTCAACAAGAGCTCTTACAAACGAGCCGAGTACGGGTATATATAGTTTGGACTAATTTTTATTAATATAACTTAATCCCTCTATACTTACTTTTAAATGTCGTAAAGCTTTCCAAACACCCGGCGTAAATTCGTTTGCAGAGTAGTAAATACAGCAAATATCTGCTTTCATGAATTAAATTTAATAAAGTGTTCAGAGGAGCTGTTTCAAAGAGCCCTTTATATTATTGAATTAACCTTCATTTATTTAGAGGTTCTAGAATCCATTCAACACAAGTTTATTCTATTTAAATGGGATTCGGTAACTAAAGAGAATTTGTAGCTATCCAAACAGTGGACTGATCAAGTGTTTCTTTATTGAAGCCATTTATTTAGAAAATAGGGTTCTGTAAATTTTATTCGCTGTCCATGTTTTTGAAACTAACGCAAAAAACCAAGTTTAATCCACTATCTAATATATCCATGAGAAAATGTAAGTATAAAGATGTATAAGTATAGGTATCTATGTAATTCCTGAAAAGCTTCGCAAAAGCCAAGAATTTCTATTCAGTCTTGTAGTATTGCGATATAAATAGTGAATCTGGCATTTGCGAATCGAGTTGCGGCGAAGCTTCAAAATTCTAAATGAGAATGCCTTCATATTTTTACCGTGATTCCTTTGATGAAAACCCAATCCGGCATTTTCGCTTGTTCCTTCTGGTTCGGGGCCTCAATCATCGCTTTGACAAATAATTATGCGAGGTCGAATAGAATTACAAAGATCTACAAGTGGTTATTGTTGTATAGCACCCAGGTCCTTCAAATACTCGCTTTACCTCACCTCTATCTACCTACATTTTCCTCAATATAAACAGAATTAACATTGACAATCAAGGTCATTAACTTTTAACAATAATTAGTTCTGCCCTCTTTGGACAAACTTTGGAAAATTTTCACATAAAATTGCGTTCTGCCAACTATTAACTAGTACATGAAGTGCTCATAGGTTTATTAAGAATAAATGGCTTAACAGAGTTCTTATAGAGAAGACTTGCAGATAAATAGACAAATATGCAACGCACTATATCCAACTGCACCAGGGACGTGACCTCGATTCCCATGCACAAGCTGATGTATGTCGATGTGTTTTCGCTATTCTAGGAAGTAAAGGAAAAATTGAAACTTTTATATTTGTTCATTTTTAGGTCGAACGAACAATATTGCAGCGAGTGGTGTTTCGTCATGAAATGGACCCGTACGTTGAGTAAT